TGTATATGTGTATGTATATATATATATATATATATATATATATATATATATGTATATGTATAAATATATTTACATATATTATATATATATATATATATATATATATATATATATATATATACATATGTACATATATGTACCCCTCTCTGCAGTTATATGTGTGGATCTGCGTGGGGTGGGTACGTGTCGCGGTGCGCGCTGTGTGACAAATGCATTAACTTTTAATAGGGGGCCCTCTCCGCAGGTGGAAACAACGTTTCGAACTGATTTAACGTCGGCGATAATTGGACGCTCGATATCAGGAGTAACGGCCAACTTTTTCGCCGCCTGATTTAATATTAGCCGGTGGACGTTCGCTCGTGGGGGCCTTTGGCGCGGAGGGCGGTAGGGAGCGAGGAAGTCGAGGAAAGGGGGCGGGACGAAGCGGGACGGGAAGGTGTACGGCGCTGGTAATTATCGAAAAAACATACTGCAACTTCGACCTCAATCTGAGCGGGAGTAATGGCTCATTACTTCGCGAACGACGCTTCGGAAGCCTCGCGCGAACCCCGGAAGCACGAACGATGCGGGTTGCGTTATGCAACGCTGGCGATTCGCTTCTCCGGACGTGCGGCTGACAATCAGAGGGATGCAAGTCCAAAGGGCGATGTTTCTTTATATTTTACTGAAGAAAACCCGCGAAGAAGCTTCGGACAGCGTATATATTCTTATCGATTAAATAAGAGTAGATAATGTCCTTATCTCCATCCAGTTTTTTGCGATAAAATTACAACGATATTTTGACAATTTCGTACTTGCTACATTTCGAAAATCCACACACAGATATACGAGCACGATAATCGCGCTTGTCACACTGACGTATTAATGAATGACAGGAATAGAGCGGAATGAATTATTCTCGCATTTCTTTTCGGTTTTTATTTACTCAGAAAAATATTTCGAAAACAATGTAAGCGAAGATATAGCTCAAACTATAAATAAACTGCAGCGAATGCGAATTGATTTCGTACAACGAAGGAGATGCTTCGGCAAATGCGAATAAAAATATCGGAGCGTACGTGTGTGCTTATTTCTCGGCAAGATAATATGTTTGCTCGTATATATAAATAAAAAGCTCCTGACGCAAATATACGGTCGAAAAAATTTTATTCGTGAGATAAGTGAGGAAGTAACATATAATCATGATGCAAAGAAAAAAATCATGATGCGATATAATATAAAAGTCATAGGAACGTTTATATTCATTCTCGTTGCGCACGCATTTGGCGGGATTATAAATATATCATGAAATCACGTATTCTGGATTGCGGTGTCCGTTATAGGAACGATGACAAGGAACGTTTACGAGCGCACGCTTAAAAATATCAAGCCGCTTGTTTTGCAGCAAGAACCGCGAATATTGTTTGCGCGGAACCACATACACGAAATGTGGTTTTCGTGTTTCGCGTGTTCGCTCAAAAATAAATCCTCTTGCTCCTATCATTAGGTAAATAATAAAATAACATGATCAATGAACATATCTCGTGGTTGTATTAATGATTAGCAAATACGTTTACAAATATACCCGTGATTATTTTGTTGGCCATGAATGGTTTTATCAGCTCACGCACTTTACGCGCACGTTCTGAGCGCTTTATCGGAAATATTCGGGATTCGTAAGTGGATGGGGGAGGAAAAAAGCCAAGCCAACTGGAAGCTCAGGCTCAGCGTTTATCGAGATAACCGGCCAATTAAATACTTTACCACTTCGGATATCTATAATTAGTGAAATGACACGTGTACACCGGCGAATGTTAGTATCGCAAGGGCCGCGAATGTTTTGCGGCCGCCTCGTTCCGGTTAAATTAAACTGTATTTTGGTTTCGCCACCGGTGGCGCAATCGAAAGCAATTATCGCAAAGTTGAAAGCTTTATTGTTCATAGTTTCTCTTTTCGCGCTAGCAAAATGATGTACCAAATGATAACAACCGATGGCTGGGGCAAAATCCCTGCGTTTCCGAACGTTCTTCCGCGCGTTAAATTCGGAAAGCTTATATCGCTGATCCGCAGTTATGTTAGGCAGGCGAATGGACTGAAATGAAGCAGTAAAGCAAGCGAAAATAATGTCTAACAGCGTACAAGGGGAAACACAGATACAATAAACTAACTAATATTAGCGGGAACCATAA